ACAGCGGTCGCCCCCGGGACTGAAGCCTCGGCAGTCTTTGAAAAAACCAAACCACCAGTTGCGCCCAAGCCAAAGACTAAACCACAACACCAGGCCAAGGATCTGCTCTGTGGAGAGGTGCCAATGATTCATTAATTGTTCATGTGGTTAAAACAGTTAATGACTTGGTTCCTCAAACCTCAAAGTAAATGTCTTACTCAAAACGCTAACTGCCCGCCTTACAGTTAAAAATATATTTCTTTCTCCATTTGCTGTGTTTTATTATTTTGTCATTGATCTGTTGTTAATATTAAATTAATAATTTTCTTTATGAATATCACAGGTTCAGAACACTAGTGTTGGAAAATCCACTGATGTATGACCTGTGACAGAGTGAGTGTTGTTCAATTCTAAAGTACCCAACTTTCATAAACCTGTATATAAAGCAACTACTTTTTGGAAACTTACGTGTATATTAAATATAAACAGTTCTACCATGGGAACAAAAGTTAGATTTCTTTTCTTTTCTAGAGATTTGGAGGCAACCCAACGAAATCCGTCAGTTGAAGATGAATCCAGCGTTGAGATGAAACCATTTAAACAGACATCCTTTCATACCAGCTGTTACTGTAACCATTACCACTCTGTAAATACCTTTTTTTAATCTCACAACTAAAATAATAGGTCAGAAAAATGCCTGTAATTGTACCTTAATTACTAAAATCGTGTTTTTAACTGGCATGGCTTGGCATAATGAACTGTAAATCAGTCTAGTTTCATAGCTCGTGCACAGGATCATAGTTGCTGCGGCCTAGAGTGTGCTCACATGCTATTTATAATATGAATAAACTAATCTTTATATTTGTCAACGAATGTGGGTAAATCCTCCTGGCAAAATGCTCAGGCTTTTAATGTCTGAGAAAAAGACCCCTTTCTTACCCAAGAGACAATTTGATAACATCTTGTGGAGGTCTGTAAATAATTGCGCCACAAAACCAGTAACACCATGATGTAATGTGTCCTAAAGGTATTGCCTTTTGTGCAGATGTATCTTATGTCCTTGAAAATAAAACACATTCATTCTGTCCTTTTTATTTGTATTCTTTTTTCGTACAGGCGTCCCTCCTGTACTTTTTATTTCAATTCAACCGCAATATCTTAATATTTTGTGGTTTACATCAAATAAAGTGAAATGGTCACGGACTTTTCCTTCAAACAAAACCTCTATCTCCTGCTTTTCCTGATGTACTCTTTTCCGCTTCCAATTCAACATGGTTATGTGGGACTCAGGTCGGCTTCGGGGTAAAGGTCAACATCATTCTCAGACGCCTCGTAGGTGGTGGTATTGCAATCCCCTGCTGGTTGGCACCAAGCTGTGGTCAAGTTCTTATCTTAAATCAAGTCACCTCAAGTTTTCCCTCACCTTAAGTTATTATTTGTTCTCTCATGGTTTTATATTATCCTTTTTCTGACACAAGTTTCTACTGTACGCAGGGCCGTTTGAAGGAATTTGGGGGCCCCAAGCAAAATGGACATGGAGGCCCCCCCCCAAGCCCCCGCTGCGCGCACGCAAAACCTATAGGAACCACAGCACAGCCATAAAGTTTAAGTTCACCCACAATTTATATAAATAAAAAAGGGTTTACAGTGCACAAACATAATGTGCATGAAATATAACAATTTAACATTTGCACACTACCATAAAATCAAATATACATTAAAAAAGTGCACAATAACTAAATCCAACATACTTAAAAACACACTCACACTCACATTAACATTTTTCAGTTCTCACAAACAAGTGCAACTTCCTTTTTCTTCTTTCTTTTTTTGCTTCCTGAAGCGTAACTCCGCTTCATGATGCCGGGCTATGGTTGCCAACAGTCCCCTATTACGCGGGACATCCCGAATTATGGGCATTTTTGATTTGTCCCGACCGTGACAGCTCCAGTTCCGTTTTCCAATCACAGCCTTTTAAGTCAATGACGCGCGAAAAACTCCCGGTTGCTGTGACGCATCCGACCAGTGTGCGCGGGGGACGGGTGACCCGGCCGCCGACCGCTAGCACCCCCTCCCTCCCCAGTCAGCCCGGCAGTGAGGGGCCCCTTGAGGGGAGATCCCGATAACGGTGTCATTGCACTTTACTGCATTGACTATCAAAGGGGCGCTCACACAGTTTGTCGTTGCATTTGACTCTTAACCAGTCGTTGTCTTGGGGCCCCTGGCCAGCTCGGGGCCCCAAGCAATTGCTTGGTTTGCCTGTCCTGTCGCGACGGGCCTGACTGTACGTCACCCTTAGTGGTTCCTCTTCTCACTCCTCATATTTGGAGGTCACTCAAAGTTCCTCCAATGCATCTAAAATAAAGCCTTTATTAGACTAGAAAATGCATTTCCTGCAGAAAATGCGTTGGAATGCTGAAAGCTAAAAGCTGAGATGAATTTGAAAAAATAGCTTAAAATACAAAAGTGAGAAAAGCTGAAATGAATATCAAAGAATTGCTAAAAATGCAGAAATGAGAGTAGCTGAAAATCAAAAAAATGCTGAAAATACAGACATCATACCATTAGTTATGTTCAGTAAAATTAGTGCTAGTCGTAGTATTAATAGCAGCATAAATACTAGTACTTTTTGTTATAGTAGTGGGACCTGGTGATATTCTATGCACAAGAGCCAGAATAACCTGAAGCCAGAGACTACTATTGTCATGACTGGACAATGGCCCTGAACCCAAATGTCTAACTCCGGAGATGATGTTCGAAATTAATTCCGACAATGACATTCATGGGTGTCTGTGGGTGACTGTGGAGCATGGTCGTCCTCCAATCAGAGGGTTGTGGGTTCGATCCCAAGCTCTGCTAACCCCCATGTCCTTGGGCAAGACACTTATCCCAACATTGCTCCTGCAGCTGTGAATACAGTGGGTGAATGTTAGTTACTGATGGGCAGGTGTCACTGTGTATGGTTCTCCTGTCATCAGTGTGTGAATGGGTGAATGATGTCATGTAGTATTAAAGCGCTTTGAGTGGTTGGAAGACTAGAAAAGCGCTGTACAAGTACAGTACATTTACCATAAGTAGCAAAGCTGTTAAACAAATGACAGAGTAACGTACAAATGCTGCACATACTCTTATGCAAGGTTGTGAACAAGCAAAAACCAAGCATTTCCCTGTTATTTCTTTCTAATTCTTTCAGGGCTCGACATGGGACCTTCGCACTCCTTTTTCTCCACACCATCTCATACCAACGTACCACTGTTGTATCATTTGCACCACATCTAAGTAACTAAATAAATGAAACCTGAAGTTACAAGTAGCATTTTTCTAAGTAAAATATTGGCTATATACACTTCGATTATTAACCCATTATCAGATGAGTTAGTGATTGATTTAGTTCAGTGTGTAATATCAATGCAGGCTGGAATAGCATTCCTTAATTAAATGAAATCAACTGAGCCAAATGTCAATTTTACATGTAATAAAGAAACACAAATTGTCTACATAAAATGTAGGAAATCCAAATAGTGACTTTTGAAAATTGCAATGGACAAATGTAGACATTATAGCCACAAAGCCACTTTTTACTGTATCACAGACATTAGCGAGCTCTCAAAATAAGCTACCTTAAAGTACATAATATCTGTTAAATGGAATGAGTCAGAAATCCCTTCAACCATTTTTAGGGAAGATTCTTAAATTATAAGTTTTAAGGAGCCCCCCAGTCTGAAAGTCAAACCATGGTGATAAGGCCCACAGTGTTTCCGAGTTAGCCACGCCTGCCATTACAAAGGTATTTAGTCATTTCCCCTCTGTGGGTTTGCCAGAGGTCAGCCTTAGTTTCACATCTGTCCATTACTGAATTCCCATTGTTTTACTTAGTGGCCAGCTGATGGCCCTCCAGTGAGACCAATGTTATCCTTAAATTAAGGATGTGGATGTTTACCTGATGTGCGGTGAGGTTCGTGGCTGGGACCGCACTGACTCTTTCAAAGTCAGATTCACCAATATATGGCTTCCACAGAGTAACCATTCAACTGGCTGCTTGCACATTGACTAGTGTCAATTAGTCAATGACATTAGGCTGTCCAAAATCCAAAATGTATTTTGCTGAAATTATAATGTCGCTCATTAAATTGATCAGTGATTGTCTAACTGCTTCTTAGACCGGCCGCCTTGGGACAGTGCGCGAGCGGAGAGGATGTGCAGGAAAAGCATACATTTTGCGCCTATATCTTGATTTACAAATATTACCGGGTATATAATCCACGTTTCAAAAGCAAAATAACACAAATTGACTATTTGTTAAATGTATTTTAATATATTAAACAACAAATAGGAATAAAACTTTTTTTTCGAGAGCTCATGGTGGGGCCACGCCCCATTGTCCTCTATAGACCAGCCTCATCCAGTAAATGGGTGCGTTTCTAGAAAGTTCTACTCAGTATTTGCTGAATGCGTGAGAACCAGGTTCAATTTGTATGCGTAACAGTGAGTAAAAAAGGCTTCAGGGACCTTTTCTTTAATCTCGGTTTGCACCCCATTAAGCTCTGATGGCATCACAGCGGCTCTGTCGTAAGTCTGAGCTCAACTTTTCCACACACTTGTATTCGACTTGTGGCAATGTCAAAACATGACTCCAAATGACCCGTTTCAGACTTTATGAGAATACAGAATCCCCGTGTGTTCATTTCTAAAGCCATCACTTTACTTAAGTCGCTGTGTTGTGCCAAATTCTCAATAAAGTTAGAAAAGAGCATTTACGGCAAACCCATCATGAAGGCTGGCGATGGTGATCTCCTCATTAACAACATACGGAAGGCTCTCAGTGCCTCTCCACTATTCTCCTGGCTACGACCGAGGTCAAAAACTTTAGACAACGATCTTCTTTGGTAACCACGCAATTGGCAATAAGTCATCGGTCTGACGCAAAGTGTACGCCTGCAATGATTCAGCTGGACGATGCTCGCTGCAACGCGCTCGCGTACGTGTGCGTACACGCGCGAAAGGGGTGCGTTCTGTGCAGCGGAGGGTCGCGTCACGCCCCCCGCCAGACCTACAAATAAGACCGAGATAACTACGAGAAGCTGCACACATTATTTCCCTCCGAGTCGACGATTCACCGTCCACGCAGAACACAGCAGCAGTCATGGCTCAAGGTAAGCTGCACCACACGTTTATCTTTCAAACCGGGTCACATTTGTCAAAGGTATTTGCAATTTAAAAATAACTTGGGTGGTAGTTTATTATTAGATGGTTAAACATACACGTGATCCATGTATTCAACAAGTCAGTCCCCCAAGGACTTTTGCTTGGAAGTTCTCCTCCCACTATTTCCTTTCATGGAAATAGTTTGTTTTAATGCACGTTAAAGTCTTACTCATATATTGCTCAGTTTTGAATAGTACCAAAAAGTTGATGACAGGGAAGGTGAAACTTTCACAAAGCATTGTCTGTAAGCATGCTGCAGACATGATGTCCGAGAATAACAAAGGTGACGAGTTATCACATGCCTGCACGCATCATCACCCTGTGTGAGCTGCTTTCAAAGCTGCAGGAGCAATTCTGTTTAGCAAACATTGATCAGAGATCTATAAGCATGTCAAAAATGTTTACCCCTCATGGTTGTGTGGTTGATGGATGTCGCCCGATGGGACACTTATAATAGATGCTCTAAGCAGCTCTATGCCGTTTTAGTCAAAATTAAATAAATGAATAAATACGTAAATACATGAAACATGCATTTGAAATACATCATGAAATAAATAAATGAGGCAATAAATACATATATAATAAATACATTTAATTATTTCATGGTAGCCTTCTTTTGCACACGGCTCTGTTGTCTGTTCTGAATGTTAGATGTAGCCACGCCCCCTGATTTGCATATAAGAACGTGAAATGTAAAACGGCATTATGAAATAAGTCTCTGGAAATGAAAAACGGCATTATGAAATAAAAGACTCTGGAAATGAAAAGTGGCATTATGAAATAAAAGTACCATGGTATGAAAAGTGGCATTATGAAATAAAAGTACCATGAAATAATTAAACGTATTTAATATTTATGTATTTATTGCCTCATTTATTTATTTCATGATGTATTTCAAATGCATATTTCATGTATTTACGTATTTATTTAATTTTGACTAAACGACATTCCATACTAGTCGCCGCTAGTCAACTGTTCTTTTCTTTAGAGGCACACACACCACCCTACAAATAGTTTACCCTTAAAACAATGACACTCCCAACTCATAACAAAATAGGGAAGCCTCCAGATCACCTTCAAAGGTTTTTTACAACCTTTGACGGTGAGTAATCTTTGACGCGTGTGCGTGTCCAGGCAAAATGTGTAACATGTCGAGTGCTGTTGGACATTCCATGCCAGAATGGTAATACAAAACTTCCAAAGAACCAAAGAACTGGAATAGAGTGTGAAATCATAAAATAAATGTTTTTGCCCGTGGTAATTATCTATTCTTATTATTATTATCCATATTATCCTTATTATCTACACTGCAGGAATGCGAGAAAGATGTCTATTTGAGCATATACATGCTACACACAAATACCACATGTAAATACCACATCCACAGTTACTTGTTGAATGAACACCAGCGATAAATCTGTGTGACCTATTTTTGTGTTGGAATTTTACAAAGTATTTAGCTGAAATGTATTAATAAAGCATTTAGTTGAAATATATTTACAAAGCTTTTAGTTCAAAGTGAAAGTGTCTGTGATGGAGCTCTGAAGTGTGCATGGGTGTTACCCGAGAGACTGAAAAATCCATTCATTCTCATGGGAGCATACTTATTTTTCCAGGATTCAAATAGTGTTTACTGTACCAGTGACTATTTGACACTAGCTTGTTTTAATGTCCTCAGTGCTGCTTACTGAGACAGTCCTTCTGTGTGTCCTAGTTGGTAGACTGTGACTGACGCGTGGGCGTGTACAGCATTTAAAGTTTAGCTAGTAATGCATTTCATATATGTGTTGTGGTGCTTCAAGTTATGTAAACCAACAGAATAAACTGCAATAAATGCATTGAGTTTGGCTTTGCATGTACACCATCGGCTACAATAACTGCTTCATCTAGAACAACACATGCTGTTTTACTGGGGGTTTGGAACAAATCCAAAGTCCTTTTCTTTTATATGAATTATAAAGCCACAAAAACATTTCCCCTTTAGTCTGTTGTTTCTGAGCGTTTGGGGTCTTGGACTTTCATGTGTCATTAATCTTTGTAACAGATTTCACATTCTGTAAGCTGAGTACCTGTTTTATTGGACCTTCTTGCCACGAGGTGCAAGCAAACAGTAAAACTCTCTCCTCTGATCAAAAGGAAAACATTTAGACAGATTTCTTTGGCCCAAGTGAGAGAGTATTTCTTTCACCAGATGGTTCCTCAATCTGTTCAACTGTGCTCAAATGAAATGCTCACATTTTGATTATTTGCAGATCAAATATAATCTAAACATCTTGAGAATGTGTACGGGCTAGCCCGCAAAGCCCTCAGGATCCACTGACTGCAATCTGCAGCTGTCCGACTATACAGAGCGCTGCCAGATTTAAAGCATTTGCCCCAATTAGTTAAACCAAAACATCTCAATTTATGACCTGCACCAAGGTGGAGAGCAGTAAAACAGCCATGATAAATACGGAGGAATGACGGACTTTCCGATGTTAAACAGCAGGAAGTCTTTCCAATTTAATCTTTGTTTACCCAAGTCAAGTCTAGCCTTGACACTACAACCTGTCTCCAGGGCTTTTTTTTAACACCAAGGACTAATATACAGGGACAAGTAAACCTCCTCACATGTCCTGCATAGAGCAGGAGGACCATGACGAAAATGGTGACAATTTTTGTCAGAAGGCGCCGTGCAGCGAAGGAGTGGCAGTGTGTTTGCACACTTGACAGGGAGTGACTTTCGGTCTGTGTTTACTTCTTGTTAAATCCATGCAGAAAGCCCCAGTACGTTAACATCAATGAATGCAAGAGTCCGGCTGTTTCCACCAAATTTGAAGTGACTTTGAAGATGTAATTGTAAACCTTTAGAATTGTTAAATAACTCATGAAAATAAAATGATCATGAACATCCGATGAAAGATAATAATAAAATATAAAAACACATACATGGCCACATAAAGAGATCTAGCCTCAAGCTACAATCTTCTGGTTGATTCACCCCAAGTCTGTCATTACATAGTTCATTGTAATTGTTCGTCAGAGGGTATTCTTTTAAATACTCCTCCTCCTATACAGAGAGATATGTTTTATCACTTCATCAAGATTTTATTGGCATTTAAAGTGCTCCATACTGTACATTATCCTCCTATTTAATTTTAAGAGATGGTGTTAAAAATAGATGTATTCAATATAAAGAGACACCTTTGAAATGCCATATAGGATTTTATTAATTTGTTGTAGAATACTACACAAATTCTTGAACAAAATAGAAGTCTGTTGTGCATTGACCAAAAGTCTAAATGTTGTTCTGTGCTGTTACAAGGATAGTAAGTACAAAATACTAATGATTATCCTATAGCTTTGTTGTTCGTTTCATAACTGTGTTATAAACACCGCTTTACGAGGGCTGTGTCACCTTTTAACTCTTCTTTTAAGCTCTGGACATTGATCACTGGAACCTGGAGTGTGAGTTCAACAACATGGACCATTCCACTGACCTCAACGGTGCGGATCGTCTGATTGTGAGGAGAGGCCAACCGTTCACAATCAGCCTGTACCTTTACTCCGGAAACTACCAACCAGGAGTCAGCTCTCTTGACTGCATAGTCGAGACAGGTAGAGTCATATATTTTTTTAATTGCAACTTTCCCATAAGCAATCATATACTGTAATGTGTGTAATTAATTATGAGTTCTTTTGGATGTTAAAGTTTTGAAGCCACTCTGTTTCGTCAGATTTTTTTTTTGCAAACTATTGTGATTTCAAATGTGAGACGGGGAGAGGGCGGTAATGTTGGTTGAAAGGAAAAGGAAGTTATTTTCCGTGCTTGGTTTTCAGTGACTCTGACACTGGCTTATAGCAGGAGAACATTTTCAGCATCTGGAAGATGTTTCGTTTTTTTCTATTCCATTAACCTAACCATTAACCTAACTTCCCCTCCTGCCCCTTTGTTCTGCAAGTCTTTGTGAACTTAACTATTATAGTTGGGACCCCCAGACAGTGTACTGATGCTGTCAACCCTAAAAAAAACACTGAAAAACATTTCTTTTCCATGTTTGGATAAGACTGCTGTTACTTGCCATTTAATCCAAAACAGGAAGTTCTTCTTGCCAACAAAAATGCATGTGTGTAATCATAGATAATATTAGCCTTTGAATGTCAAATATGGAAAGGAAGCGGCCTTTCTCTGGTTCAGTTGGCCATACAAGGTGGAATATGTGAAGGAATTGAATGTTTGGACTTGAGGGAACAAAGATGATTTTAGGTTTACGTAATTTACCGGAATTCAATTCAGAACTGAGGTCACACATAAAGACTTGAGTCCCAAACAACTATGTTCACAGTTAAATGCCATTACAAAGTTATGCTGCCAACGCATGAGCGGATATTCCACATATTTTTGAACTGAACAATGAAAATGCACACAGGGTACAGATCTTTTTAGACACAAATCTTTTTGATCTCAGGCTTTTACCATATTCTCTTTTACACGTAGGTCCTCAACCCTTGGAGCAGTATGGCACAAGGGCCTCCTTTGGTCTGTCTGCCAACATTGATACTTCCTGCTGGAGCGCCGCTGTCACCAGTCCCCCCGGGGACATGGTGGCCCTGTCCATCTGCTCGGCCCCTGACGCACCCATAGGCCGATACACCCTGACCCTGGGGCGATCGGGGCAGATCGAGTTTATCCTTCTCTTTAACCCTTGGTGCACAGGTGGGCAAACAGAACATAAATCAAGTCATGTAGGGATAACTGTCTACAGAGTGTTTTCATGATCATGATCATGTTTCATGCCATAGAGGGCTTTCGAGTCAGCAACTAGACAGCAGCCACGGTGCAGGGATTAGTTTGTATACGGGAGGGGTGGCTGTTCAATATAATAATAACCTTTTTTTTAACCAATGGTTTATAATATATGCAGATATGATCATTTATTATTGTTATGTCCATCTATAAAAGGTACCATTGCCAGAGCCAGTTAGTTAAGCTTAGCACCAATAATGGAAACAGCAAGCCTGGGTATGCTGGAGAGTAATAAAATCATCTGACTAGTGCCTCTAGACCTCATGAAAAACATGTTGTGTTTTATTTGTTTAACTCAGGCAGACACCAAATGTATAACTGGGAGTCATTGTTCAGACTATTTCTTTGCTGGGAGTAGCCACTTCCTGTCGTCATGAGCTTGCCAGGCAACCAGTAAATAGTGAACTTACAGTACAGGTGTTGTTGGGTTGTTTTTAAACAAATCAGCGTTAGAGGTCTGTTTATGCTTACAGTCTCCAATAATCACTATAGGGTTACCAGGTTCTGGATGTGGCTTAATATTCAATGGGCAGATAAGACAGCAATACTGATAAGTTTATTTTCAAAAGTGCTAAATTATTCCTTTTAGTTAATTGGGTGTTCAAAATTTTATGAAAAAAAACTTCCATTAACCGTAGGATATGAACACAATAAATATGTTTATTTTTCACTTTACAAGACATGTTGCATCTATCAGTGTTATTGTATTCCACTGTTTCTTGGCAACAGGCGATTCCGTTTTTATGGAAGATAAACAGAGTCTGGATGAGTATGTCTTATCTCAGGATGGAATCATCTATAGAGGCAGTGCCAAACATCCCATACCAACTCCCTGGAACTTTGGCCAGGTACCAACACCAACACTGACGCTGTCAACCTCACTTCATCTCACACTAAGTATGAAACATTGTCATTCTGATAAGAGAAACGTTCTTCATGATAAGGTACATACTATAAGTGCGCACACTTTTCTGACGTTTGAAACAATCTGAGATCTTCAAATCTGATTGTGGAAAGTCTCTCGGTCTGATAAAGTCTGAGGAGTGTTATCATTTCGAGCCTGTTCTTCTTGATCAGTTTGCCATTAGCAGTGCAATACTTGAGGCGTGCAGTTTTTGATCTTGACAGTTACACATCTAATTCGCTATGTGTTTGCCTGTTTTTTTCTCTAGAAGAGAACATGCCTGACCATGAATCTTTCTTTTAAATATGTTCCACCTCTGACAAACAGATAATCATCAGTATTTTGTGTACAGTTTGAAAGTGGAATCCTTGACATCTGTCTGAGGATTTTGGACATGAATCCTAAATGTCTGAAAAATCCTGGGAAGGACTGTTCAGGGAGGAGAAATCCTATTTATGTTTCCAGAGTGCTCAGTGCCATGGCAAGTTGTATTCCCTTTTAATATCTAGGTTTATGTGTGTGCAATATTGATGTTATAATCTTAAATCTTGAACTAAAAATATTATAACCCATTTCGTTTGAAAAATACATGTTTTTCACCCTTCTGTTCTTTGCCTGTTAGGTGAATTGTAATGATGACCGAGGGGTGTTGCTGGGAAAATGGGCAGATAGTTATGAAGGAGGTGTCAGCCCCATGTTCTGGAGGGGCAGTGTGGAGATTCTGCGCAATTGGGACACGCAAGCCTGTCAGCCTGTTCGCTACGGACAGTGCTGGGTGTTTGCTGCAGTGGCCTGTTCGAGTAAGATAGGAAGCAGTGCAGCTTGGTGGCCTATCTCTGGAAAACACATTTGATTTGTCTCAAATAGACACAACACCATATAAGTCAATGCTTAGTTATGATATTCACTTTGCTCGTCCGCTTTATATTGCAAAGCTCATGTAAGCTGTTTTTTTACCGTTAGTTTCCAGAGCTCTCGGCATCCCCTGTCGAGTCGTCACCAACTACCTGTCGGCCCACGACAGCAACAGCGACCTGGTGATTGAACGCGTCATTAATGAAAATGGAGATCTCATTCAGGCCAAAGAAATGCTCTGGTAGGAATACTTTTCATGTAGCGCGGCTAATATAACAGTAGGAGACATGGTGTTGCATCAATGTACTTTACATGTTTTAACAACTTAATACAAAAAGAGAAATATGTTGTATTAAGATGTAATACCGGGAGAGACGTGACAAAGAGATTGTCAGGACTGCTGTGAACTATTTGAAAGTGAGAGTAAGGCAATTAAAACTATTATCTTGCCCTTCTTTAAATATGGCAATATGGCCGCATTTTAATTTAAATGAAACACTATTTAAATTAAAATGTTGTTTTTCCACACAGGTTATAATGCAAATGTTTGCATGAATCCAGCTTATGGTGTGTATTGTCTGTAGGAACTTTCACTGCTGGGTGGAGAGCTGGATGACCAGGCCCGACTTCAAACCGGGGTTTAATGGCTGGCAGGCTAGTGACCCTACACCTCAGGAGAAAAGCGAAGGTAAGGAACACGCTGCATCAATGAACCCACAGGGCTTTTTTTGATCATGGCATATCCTCAAAGAGGTCGTTCTTTGATTTTTTGACATTTTCCTTGTGCCTTTAGGAACGTACTGCTGCGGCCCTATCCCGGTCAGGGCCATCAAAGAAGGCGAGCTTACGTTCAAGTATGACGCCCCATTTGTCTTTGCTGAGGTCAACGCTGACGTCACCACCATCATGAAGCGAAAAGATGGAAGCACGTCAAAAGTTACCAACACTACAGTGGTGGGCCAGAAGATCAGCACGAAGAGTGTTGGCAGTGACGCCAGAGAGGACATCACTCATCTGTACAAGTACCCTGAAGGTAGGGAGCACTGCTGGAGGAACTGCACATCGTTAAATAAACCCAAGTTAACATCACAAAAGCTAGTCCAATCAATAAAATAGTATACATTATTGCTGACATTATATACAAACCTCCTCCTCTACCACCTCCTCTACCAGCAGGCATTTACACAGCAAGTGACCTTGCTGTGTAAATACTTACATTCCTTTTCAGTATTTGTGTTACTCCTTTAAGGAGGTCAGTTTTAAGCTCCATTCCTTATACAGCAAATTCAGAATTTAAAATAAGGAGACGATACATTCTTGTGACTGTGTGATTTTGTTGCTCGTATATTTACAGGCTCTGATGAAGAGCGGGAGGCTTTCAAGAAGGCTAACCACCAAAACAAGCTGCTCCATCAGCAGGAAAATGAAGGCCTGCACCTCACTATCAAGGTGACACCAGACATGAGGAAGGGCTGTGACTTTGATGTATTTGCTGTGGTAACAAATAACACTCAAAGCAATAAGAAGTGCCGCCTGGTGTTTGGATCCTGCGCTGTATCCTACAACGGCATTCTGGGAGAGAATTGTGGTTTTAAAGATTTGCTCAATGTCGAACTCTCACCAGGAGCAGGTGAGCCAACACTGAACACTGGTGTTAACCTTCCCCCAACCTGCCACTGTGAATTGTATTTAATATGTTGTATGTTTCCTTCTAGAGAGGCGAGTTCCACTACGGTTGAACTACTCAAAGTATGGTGGCCTACTCAACGAAGACAACTTGATCCGTCTGGCAGCCCTGTTGATGGACTACTCCACTAGAGATGCAACGCTAGCAGTGAGAAACATTGTCCTGGACAATCCTGAAATCAAAGTCAGAGTGAGTACTATGAAGTGCAAAGTAGTAATGATGACAAAACATGTACATATGTAATGTCCATTTTCAAAGTCGAAACAAGCCCTTGAAATGTATGGAAAAGGACACTTAATCACTGAACCGTAATAACTGCCAAGTCTGCCCTTTATCCAAGTATAGGCCACTCGAAGGTTACGTTTGTACAGGATTACAGTATTTGAACACTGACACCTTTTCCCACAAACACATGAACAAAGCCTGATCCAAGACAGAGTGGGACATACTTAATGAGCTGCTTTCATAAACGAACACTTGAATGTGACGGTTGTCTACAGATCCTGGGGGAACCGAAGGAGAATCGAGAGCTGGCTGCAGAGATCACCCTCCGAAACCCTCTGCCAGAGACGCTGGAGAACTGCTGCTTCAGCATCGAGGGGGCCAACCTCACTGCAGGACAGGTCATCTCTGAGAGGTTGTATAAGTACTAGAGATGATCATTATCCACCTGCACAGATCACCAACTCCCAAGCCATGAATCATAAAACAACCTTATTAGTAATTTGAAACAAATTATCCAAGACAAAGAAACGGTACAAAATAAAAGTAAGTGACGTAGAGCAAGTTAGCTCACCGAACAAGCTCGTTCTGCCCTCTTCCCAATGAGAACCTATGCCCTCTGGTCTTAATGGGTTTCAAGATTTGTTGCAATAGTCTTGATGCAGCATCCAGATGTTTGGCTGGATTTGCACCTGTTGCCAGAAGAGGGGCAGCCAGAGAGATGGCTAGTTATTGCTCATCAATAATAGCTTTATGATTTAAATGAATCTCCTTCATTGATCAAAGTAGGAAAAAGCATGGTGTGTCCACACAATATATTTTCATGGTCACTGCTGTTGTTGGGCTAATGCTTAGTGCGTAAAAACTTTTGTTTTTTTTAACTTTTGTTTTTTTTAACTTTTGTCCTCTGATGAGTTCAAACACGCTACATTCACATGACTCCATAATTAGGAAAAACTGTCAGGAGTTCTCGGCCAGTGATAATAGATTATCTAAATATTTATGCAATCAGAGGAATGTAATAAATGTGTTTCATAAACTTTATATCCAAATATTTACCTTACAGGCTGGGCTCCTCAGTGGCACCTGGGGAAGATGCCACGGTGAAAATTTACTTCACACCCACCCACTCTGGACTGAGAAAGCTGGTGGTCGACTTCGACAGCAACAAGTTGTGTCACGTCAAAGGCTACAGAAATGTCATTATTGGGAAATAAAGCCTCTAACCTACGCAGTCAAACAGATGACATTATTTTTACTCTGAAGTCTGAATTAACAGTTTAGCTAACTCAATACATAAAATGCTTTTTTATTGAAACACTGCATCTCAATGTATTATCATGATCGCTTTATATATATTTTTTTGTGTTATGTGGACGCTTTTTACTCACTAATCTGTGTATGCAAAACTTTAAAAGGAATATGTACTGTGATCTAAAGTAATGGTTTGCATTTTAGGTCTCACAATAAAGTTGATTAGGCATCAGGCGTAGCGTTGTGAAGTAGTTTCGATCATGAATATATCATTGATCGCTTCAGCCAAATAACTATCAACGATGTGGCCAACATACTGTTCAATTCAAACTGTTTACTTCTCTCCTCTTACTTGGGTATAAATCATTTAATAAGATCGTGGATGTCTTTAGGTGACGTGTCATGTTCACTGCAAGCTGCAGTGCTACTCTGTATAATTTGTATTGCTGTAGTTCTACAAATACAGGTGGGTCTGTATGCATGAGGAGGATTTATTTTCCTAATGTTACAGGAAGTGATGCTCCCTTCTGGCCAAAAACAGCAGTTACAAGTATTAAAATGAGGCGTGAGAGCTGCTGTAGAAGGCAGTGTTTTTGTTGTGCAGTAGCTGGCTGCAACAAGCTGCCATTTAACTTCTAAAATCATCTTGATAAATCAATGATAAACAGTGAATATCTGATCATTTCACAGGCCTGTAGCATTTTTTTGAAAGGGAGGCAGAAAAAGTAATTATATATATATATATATATATATATATATATATATATTATATATATATATATATATATATGTATGTATTAGGTCAAACTATACAGTGTTTACATCTCAGCTCAAACAGATATAGAACACATAAGAATCTACAAAAACTTGTTTATAATGTAATACAATACTGCATACCACAATATAAAAAAGACCAGTCGTTTCAAAGGGATGTATTGGACAGATCAGATCCCAAACAGCAATACAACACAGTCAAAAGAACGATAACACTACAGTATGCTGTTATGTTTAAATAAATGACATTATTGAAATGCAATTTTAAAATGTTTTAAAATAAAACAAACTGCCGCTTTTTGCAAATTTGGTAAAACAATAAAAGGAGTTCATTGCAGAAAATGGTTTATTGTGTTTCTCCATCTCTAATAAGTCTGTCTGTTTTTTTTAACTGAGAATAAGTTTGGGTCATTGAAAAATGCTCTGACAAAAAAAAAAAACACCAACACAAAGGTATCCGATTGCTGCCTAACTATAACCCAACTCAAAATTGACTTCATATGCAAATTAGCTAAAGCTATAATGTACAAGGACAACAACAAAAAAGCAACAAGAAGAAAATCAAATATTGTGCCTCTCAGTGGCACTGGCATCCAAAAAACAATATTAGATACACATATAGATTTACTAGTGAGACACAAAGCGCACAGTTATGTCCGACGCCTCCTCTCTGAGGCATCATGAACACGCAGACAGACCGGCCGCTCTACAGCACGCAGCTCTCATTACAAACCGAGGCGCTACTGGCTGATCGCCTCTTCAGTTCCTCGCCCTGCGTCTGGTGACGGGTGTGGGGATGGTTCCCCCGTGAACGCTGTCCTGCCTCCTGCAGCTTCAAGTCCTCACGTCCCTGACTCCTCCCCTCTGGCTCCACCCGAAGGTACGCGCGGACTCGGTGTTGCTGCGCCACCGTGACGCTGAAGTCAATGACGCGACACTCGTACGTGCCCGCGTCTGACGGCTTGACGCTGGAGAGACGGAGCTTGTGGGAGATGTTGCTGCCGGCTACTTTTACCACCTGATGGCGACAAAAGATGACGTATTCTTATTTGAAGAATGGCCCAGCAGCATTTTCTACCTGGGCCTTCTGTGCCGTCTCACTACAGTTGAATAACCGTATAACTTCATTATGACGTCACAATTACAGATTATTTATTTCGTGTAAACTCCTCATATTTACATAACAGTGTAACATTAAGTGAAAAAATGTGTTATATGAAGCTCAACACTTGCAAATACTGGAAATATGAATACGCGCAAGACGGGATGTTGCATAATTATCGGTTAATGCATACAAATAATTATAGTATGCAGTGTAGGAGGAATTTTGAATTCATACAATTCAAAACTTAGGATTCGGTTAAATGAATTAGCTAGCAAAGGCTTGGATGGATAAATAAACCTGCTAGCTTTCTTTGACATTGTCTTTGCAGGTTGACAGTTGAAGCAACTCACACTAATTTTGGAGGCGTCTTTGGAATTTTCCTCCAGGGGTGCAACCTGTGCAGAAGTATTGATGATACATTAGTAACAGATGCACATTTCTAAAAGCTAAACATGGCAGTGGACAACAATGTTTGATTTTTTCTTCAAAAGGCTCTCTTGTAGCTCTCACTTTGTCGGTGGCGGATGAGTCTTATGTATGTGCGTGTGTAGATACGCATGCTCTAGTGTGCATGTTTAAATGTGTCTGTACACACTCTACAAGCCCAAGCACGTAAGCCTTTGAGCAGGAGTGTCTGAATATGCAAAGCCACAGAGGTATTCTTTTGGGCATAGGTATGAATTATGCATGCAGACAAAGTTTGAAAAACGATTTTTATTCTCAGTGCCAATTATAATGTCTGGTGGCACAAGGAGGAGCCTGAGTTCCCCCAAGATGGGAGAGTCAACCTGATCCCCCAGTGCTGGCAAATGCTAATCAGCAATTAGCCCATGGTTTCCCGTGACACAGCGTTTCTGCTTTGGCTAGCATTGCATTTCCCCCTGCCTGACACAAAGTGAGCTTTAGGTTGAGTCTGAGGAGTGCTGAATAGAATTGCAAAAACTGAAACAGTAATTGAGAAGATGGACTTTGTTTCTGAGTGAAATAAAAGCATTAATATGAGAGATAATCATATTATGATCAAAGGAGAAATTCCTCTCTGGAAGATAAACACTGAAATTGACAACCATGGACAAAACACAAAGAAAGTATCTTATGCTCTCCACGTAATTTGTTTATTTACACACTAATCATGATGTACAGACAATACTACAGTTTTTTCTTTGATTTGATCACTGGGTGATCAACACCTACACTGAAATTAAATTTCAACTGTTTTTTTGTTTTATTTGCTGAGCATATGTACCCCTCCATGGGAACCGTCCACAAAATTGTATAAATAGATCATGAAGTGCATATTATATATTATGATTCATTATCTAAACTCTTCTGAAGAAATTCTTCTGTAATCCAAAATATTTTACCCAGCGGGGGTACAAGTATTCCCCCGACGGCATGTGTCAAACAAAATGTTTGTTACATGCATCTTACATTATTAGTGATCCAAGCAGGCTTCTCTTGCCGGCCTCTGTGGTCCTTGATGTACCACCACTGGATCTCCAGGGAGTAGGAAGGAGACCCCGCCCCACGGAAGGAGCATGCCATCTCTACATCCTCACCGCTTTTTGTTGTGATGTCATGCGGCACCTCTGTAAAGAGAGCTGTGAGATAATCAAAAAAAAAAAGAAAAAAGAACGAGTAAACATGATGTGCTTCTCCGAAATGACAGAAGGACAAAAGATAACTACTTCTTAGGGAGCTCAGTGACAAAATTACACATGGCTACAAGGTGTTGGTAGCCAAGTAAAACACAACGAGGTAGTCAGAGAGAAGGTACCATCCTAACACACATTCACTTTGTACACATTGTAGATGTTGCTTTTTTCTACGGTGCAATTATCTGCAGAGGTTCACATTTTCAAAGAAACTGTTGCAAGTGTCGAGACTGTGAAAATATGCCATTTATGTTATTGAGTAGCATAATCCTTCTTTTGATGGTTCAGCAGCCCAAACTGAGCTTGGAAATTCAACCAGTATTGTATTTTCGACGTGCCATAATACTTCAATACAACACACACACACTCACCGCAATACCACCTACACAGAGTGTATATATTTATATAAATAAGACCTGAGCAGTTGTTATCTAGCTGGGGTGTTCTTTTTTTCTGTCTAAATTATTATTGCTTTACCAGCTATCAAATGTTGCGAAAAAAGACATCGACGGAGAGAGATGTGAAAAGGAGACACAAAATCTATAAAACAGAGGGACTAGATACACACACAAAAATAGGCGCTTTAGAGAAAAGGATTTGTCTGTGAATTACATACGGAAAAGATGAGAAAACCAAAAAAAAGATAAAGTGCAATAAACAGATTTACTGTACACCAGTCATCTATTAAAAGTCCATCAAAAAAACTCAAACAATAAGAAAAAGTATAGAGATCAAGACAAAATGTTTGCATGCTATTTACGTACACGTTTTGTCATGGCAACATGAAGGTCCATTAGGTATGAGCAGACACCTTGATGAGAACTCGTTCTTTTACTATTCTCTCTAGCTCTCCTCTATCATACAAATTATTCTGTGTTTGAAATAGTGTACCTCTTCAGTCCTTTTCCATCTCCATCCGACAAGAGTCCTTATTAAAACTCAGAAGATGCAGAGAACATTCTGTCTCGCTGGTTTCTGATGCGCACGTTGGGAGGCAGCTAAACAGAGAGCGCATAATTCAGAGAGAGATTCCAGCGAAGTGGGCAATACAACATATAGCCTAAGTCTATGGTATGTGATAATACAAAAGATGCATACTGCAAAAAAAAAATTTTTTTTAACTTTTTGAAAAAAGATTTTTGATCGAATTAAAAATATTAAATCATGCGCTAGGCCAAAAGATACCATGGTCCATATTAGCATATTGCTAAATACGGATCGTTTTGAAACACTGCAGTTAAGTGTGTTGATTCCAAAGAAATCTTCCAATTATTAGGTTTTACGTCTTTCGTTCTGTGCCAGATAGGCTTAAATAGATGGTGCCAAGGAAGACTGGCCTCATCGTTTACACGTTACCTACAGGGGAGTGCTGAAGATTCAATATATCATTATTTCATTGAATCAAGTGTATTCATCTGAATGCACCAATAAATGTCTTACAATTTTTAAAATATTATATACTGTAACTATCATCACATAAAAGGTATTAAAAAACAGAAAAATAAGATATATATTATGCTATAGACACAGACACATGTGTTCCTGAGAAGGATTTTTAATGTCCGCGCTGAAAGGTCTGTGAAGAGCATCTTGTTATTCTGCTGCACAATGAGACATTTTCTGGGACAATTTCCTGTGGCGCTTACGGTTCCTCCGATGTCGTTGTAAAATGTAATCACAGCTGGCATAATGATTCACTTTCATCTAATGATGCATGTTTTTCCTTATGGCAGGGAAATCTTTCCGGATAGCAAAAGCAACCCAATCTGAACATGTAATACATTGGGTCATGTCTATAAATCAAACCAAACAATCAAACAAAGGGTGAAGTGACAATTTAAAAAAAAACATCCTGAAGAGAGCATGCAGATTTGATGCCTTTGAAACATTTTTCTTTCTGTTTCTATAACAGTATTGACTTTGTTTTAAAAAGCACTTTGTAAGATGGTTTGAAGAGGTTCTGTGTGAGTAAAGAATGCACACCTCTTATTGAGATATGTTTTACTTATCACAATACTTTGCAATAATTTTCATTTTGAACATATCCTAGAATATGAGGGAACCTCACTGTGCATAAAGTATATGTGAAAAACACAGTGGCATTTCAATCCAAGTTTTCTTAGAATATGATACAGGTGCTGGCACTTGGTCCTTAAGATACAGTATCCACAGCTCGCGTAGACCACATACTGCAGCATCTATCACTCTGAACAGCACAGCAACAAAGTATGTAGCTATAGAAAATGTTTATTTTGTAATTGCCAATCAACCTCACACGGGCCATTCAGAATCAACCAAAGGGCCACATGTGGCCCGCAGGCCACACAATGCCTAGGTCTGAAAGAGTAAGGACATTTTGACCAATCCTCTCCGGTACAGACATTCAGTCGGTTGTCTATATTTTGAGCTTCAGACTTTTAGTTTTAAGGTGTGGCTTAGAATGAAGATTAGAAGTGTGTGTGAGTGAGAGAGAGAGAAGGAGAAAGAGCAATTTTACAAAATTGGAGAGGCTCTTTTCTGCCTCACATTATCCCTTTCTTTAGAGGGACATCATATGCTAAATGAAGTGCATGAAACATGTTGTAGGAACCGAAAGTAGCCCAAATGTATGTGATGCATTGTAAATCCACACAGCTCCATTTACACACATACACTGTATGCCAACTACACAGACATGGAGTAAGCCTTCCATGGAGATGCATTGAGCTACTCAGAGTTGGAAGCATCTCTTTATACCACACATCAGCAAGGGCTGCAGAGAAGGAAAATGTGTGGAAAGGAGGTGAGTTAAAGGAGGGGAGAAGGTGATGATAGGATTGAGTGGTTGAAAGAAGGTGCATTGAGAAAAGGGAGAGAGAAGTGTAGCAGCATCCACCGCAAGATGGGGAGATTTGTGGTAGATGTTACTGAGCTGGAGAGAGCTAAGAAAGGATTTAAACGGAAAAGAAAGACTGATTTTTTTGTAAAATTGGAGTCTTATTAGTTGGCGGAGGGAAAGTGCAGGAACTTTCTGTCCAACTGCTTTGGATGCCGAAATCTATTAAGAATCCCCATGCGGCTCTTGACGTGACGTTACACACCTTGAATTTCATCCACTTCCAAACCAGAACATTCCTTTTTACAATCAATACTTGAAATGACAAAGGCACTTTCAAATGACAAAACAGTACAAAATGTAAACAGCATTTAAACACATACATTTTACATTCTGTGTAACAGGGTGGCACGGAGGATGGTGATAAAATGTCAGCGCAGCAGTCAAAAGGCAGAAGCAGAGGGCGTCTACGGAGACATTTTAATCAGTCCATCAAAGAAACAAAATAAATCACTCCAGTCATTCCAGCAGTCAACAAAAACCTAAACACAACACACTGTCTTCCCCCTCGCTACTCCTTTCATCTTCCTTAAGTAGCCCCTTGATGACATGAGGTCCAGGTGTGTCTCCTGGCACACCTGATCTTGATGAGTTTCTGACGGTCGTTTAGGTGGCCCGCCTTCCGGATATATCTCCCCTCCACCACTCTACCGCTCAGCTCCTTACAACTGCTTTAACATTAGTTGTATTGAGGTGGCCCTTTGGTTGATTCTGACTGGCCCGTGTGAGGTTTATTGGCAATTATTATAAATAAACATATTTTCTAATTTTACCTCTTGCATGGACAGCTGCAGCTGCAGTGCTTTTATTTGGTCGTAATGACGCAAAACGTAAATCAAATACATGTGCATGATTGAATCAAGTGTACTATGGGGCGCCGTTTGTAAAATATTGCACGTTCTAAAACAACATTTATATTTATATTCAACATTTATTTTTAACATTTATATTATTTAAAAACTTTGTTTTACTGCCAAACATTATCCTTGGAAAAGTTATTGCATGAATTTACATGAATTTCTCTGAAAATGTTTGAAAAAGTGACATATGAATATTGTCGTGCTTTTTTGTTCATATGATAATGCTACATGTAGCAAAACTGCGCAGGATTTTAGAACGTGCAACATTTTACGGCGCCCCATAGTGTACGAGCAGTTACAACTCACGAGACACAGTCACAACTCATGAGACGACTTTAGCCCTCAAAAATGTCCACTTATGCTAAAAAAAGAAAGGTAGACCTCTGCATTGTTTTCAACAAAAAATTGACTGCTAATTACGTATTTACTGAAGTCAGAGGTAAAGATCACCGTGTTTAAGGATTACAATTTGAGTGGGCATTACGAGACAAAGCAAGCGAGAAATACAAACACTTGACTGATGCTGAAAAGATGGCGGCATCGGAAGCTTTACTAGCTAAGCTACAAAAGCAGCAAGGCTTTTTCACCAAGCTTCACACAGTCAGGGATGCAACTACCAAGACCAGCTTTGTGATATCCCACAAAATCGCTGAAAACAGTAAGCCATTCTCGGAGGGAGTTAGTCAAAGAGTGCTTGGTGGACTCTGCAGCGCTACTGTGCCCTGAAAAAAAAAGCAAGTCCCGCTATCCGGGCGAACCGTGAAAAGAAGGATCAAGGACATTGCAGCGAATTTGGAGCTTCAGTTGACTTTTTCTCCTTGACTTTGGACGAGAGCTGCGATGACCGTGACACAGCCCAGTTAGTCGTATTCGTCCGTGGGATACAGGACTTCAAGATTATAATATGATGTATATTACTATTTGTAGTACAAAGAAATTATTGTGGTGTCTTTAGAAAGATAAGAACCTCTTTCAACAGTACATGGAACTCAAAATGGGTTTTAGGGTGAATGTGCCTAAAAATGATCACTAATATAATTAGTCACAAATGCTAAAAACGTTGTGTTTGTTTTGGTGTTTTATTGAATGAATTACATTTTTTGAAAGGCAACCTCGCTTTTTCATTGCTTAATCATAACATGCAATACACTTTACCAGTCTTACCAGCTTGTCGAAACAATGCTATATACTGTTTTTATAAAGAAAAATAA